TGTTCCCAAGCGTGGGATAATCTATTTGATGTATCACGATACTTCTTACATCAAATAAAATAATCTATTTCTATTTTGGGCTTCTGGAACCTATGGTATATCTTGTCACTTCTGTAAAAGGATTTTCGCTCTGGGCCAAGCATTTAATAACTTTTTTTAGACACCACAAAAAAAACCTCATACTGCATACTAATGATCGAGATTGGTTGAACACATTTATCTTGGCTCTTCATCTCCAATTCTTTGGCGCCCGGGACTAATGTTTGCTCCCAACATATTCACCATTATATATAAATGTTATGCTTATTAGGCAATGAACTTTTTTGTTTATGCTAAGTCGAAAAAAGTCAACCTTTGGAATAACTTGAAACTGAGAAATTAAAGTAAGAATGAGGAGCACTTACTCTAATATTAATAATATTGAAAAAAAGATAAGTATTTTAAGATGAATAAAAAAGTGCAAAAATTAAAATTACACTCCTTTTGTCTCAATAAAACAACTAAGCTTGTGACATCATTTTCTTTTGGATTTTCCCAATATAAAATTTTCAGGGAAAGTGGCTTTTAAATTAGGGCAGCCTAGCCTGCTTGTTGGCCCTTGTCATTCATTATATTAATAACCTAGCTAGCTAAGCTAAGCTAAGCTAGCTGCATGCCGCGGGCAACCCACTTACTGATATACTCTTTGTATCCTCCTACTATATACTCTCTTAATTCCAGATCGGAGTATATTTATTTATTTTCTCCCGGAATTCGCAGCCGCCGCCAACTCGATCATCATCAGCTCCGCCCCATATCATATCCCTTCCGGCCACCCGCCGCCGGTAAGTTTTACTTTTCCCTCTATCTCCATCTATTATTTCCACCCCTCCCTGCCGGCCGCCGCCATCAGCTCCTCCCTCATACTATCGCACTCTTAATTGGGGAATTACAAATTTTTCAACTTTCACATCTTACTTGTCTCGTAAAATATTTCAATTTAGAGGACTAAATATACCTTATTGTCTTTGCATTTCTTAAATCTGAACTACATTCAACGTCCTGCCCATTTTGGTTTTTCTCGAGTCCTACTCGTTTCAATTGTCATTGTTTTTCCATCTAAAAAGTCAAAATAAGAAATATTTTGCGGAACAGAAAGATGGTTGTTTTGTGTGGTGCACTAGAGACAAGGAGACACCATAGTTAGACCATCTTTTATTTTTTGTTTTTTTTACTCTTTTTTTAATTTTTATTTAATAACGTTTCATTCACTTCTAATTATTCCTCTATTTTCGGAACGACTCAATCTGTGATATATCATCCACTCATCAAACATCTATCAAACTTCAAAACCCCCTTTTGCCTTGTTTTTTCTATTTTAAACTTAATTTCTATTTATTTTACTCATTATTTATTAGGGGTCGGAGTATTATTGATACCATTCTTCTTTCTGAATATTTGTCTAGTTTTAACTTTTTTCAGTTAGTTAGTTTTAGCTTTTGACTTATAATTAAATAAAAAATATAAGGTATATTATTTAGATAAATTAGTATTTTAAAAATATTTTATAAAATAAATTTAATAAAATTATTTTTGTATATATATCTAATATTGTTTTTTATCTTATTTGTGATTAAAATTTACTAATTTTGATTAGTATAAATTTTTACTATTAATGTTGATTTCCCCTTTTTTGTAAAGGTTGATTCATTAATTAAGGGTGGATGCAGGCTTTTTAATTTTTGGTCATGTAAAACACCGACACAAAATATGATGTTTTTCTCTCTTTCTGTTTTAGAGCTATAATAAGGCGCGCGTGCCCAATAGCTGATTGCGTCACCCTTTTCTTGTCATTTTCCTGTCCCACCCCCACCTACATAGGACGACGTAGTATGTTCCTTTAATTAATTACTTTTAATTTCCTAATCTCTCTTCCCACATTTTTGTTTAAAATAATAAAACAAAATATTCATTGTACAATATAATACTCCCTCCGTCCCAAAAGGAATGGGACGGTTTGACTTTTTGGAAAATTAAGGGAGTGATATCTTGGTATTGACTTTCCAAAAATGCCCTTGATGTGATGGGTAAACGTAGGATGTGATGGTTAGATTATTAGAAAAAAGGTATGATGTGATATGTAGGGTATGAAAAAGTAAGGGGTAAAAGTGATTTTTTAATAGAAATGTAACGGACTTTATGGGACGCAGTTTTTCCTAAATGTAACAAACTTTTTGGGACGGAGGGAGTATTTCATTTTATCAAATAATTTTGGTCAATTACCTAATATCTTTTTTTCATGTTTTAGGGTGTCTTTTTTTATTTTTGAAATTTTTTATGAAACGGAATAAGTACAATTCATTAAAATTTATTTACTAAATATAGAGAATGGACGTATGACTAATCCAAAGTAAATGAATACAAAAAAATGAACGAGAGAAAGATATGGATAACAAGCTAAGTAACACAATAATTGAATATAATTATTTCTTTTACTTTATTTTTTCAATATTTTCAGTGGACCTGTGAGGAGCAAGTTTAGAATAATTAAATAATTACAACTCCCTTTATTAACAATTAACCAACCATTATAACTTTTGTGATATATTAAAAAATTAACGAAGCTAATAAACATGATGTCTATAATTGAGAAAAGTGCACGGTTTATCTTCCAAGTTCTTTAAAAATTGCATGATTTACCCTTGAACATAGAAAAATGCATCATTTATCCTTGACCTCTATCTTTGAAAATTGTACGATTTACTGCTGAACATTAAAAAGTACACCAAATACTTCTGAACAATTTAAAACGTTGCACCGTTGGTCCTAAAATGCTAGATAGAGAGTATGTTCCTCTCAAGCACGGAAATTGAAAGTATGATTCATATGGTCCTCCAAAGTACTCTTTCCCAAAATTATTGGCTTTATTTAAATATTCAGAGATACATTCTGCAATTTCTAAAGAGCTTAGGGGTATTTGGTGCACTTTTTAATATTTAGGGGTAAACCGTACAATTTTTAAATAATTCATCAAAAGACATACTCCCTCCGTCCCATAAAGTGTTACCCATTTTGACTAAAGTTAAAATTAAGGGAGAGATAATTTTGTGTTGACTTTCCAAAAATACTCTTGATGTGATGGGTAAAAGTAGGATGTGATGTGTAGATTATTAGGAAAAAGGTATGATGTGATAGATAGGGTTTGAAAAAGTAAGAGGTAAAAGTGGTTTTTTAATAGAAATGGGTAAGAGATTGTGGGACACAATTTTTTTGAAACGTGTAAATCTTTTTGGGACGGAGGGAGTAATAATCAGTTAAATGTGAATGAAGATATCTATTAGAAGTGCAATTAATTAATGCAAAAATAGGTGTTGGAAATAATTAAAGTAATAAATCCACTCCTCACTAAATTAAACACGCCTATTCAAAAGATATACTCCCTATAAAAACGGACGAACTGTAAATGGGAGAAGAATGATTGTAGGGGTTTCTGCCACTACCAAGACAACATTATTAACTAAACCACTAACCTTTGCAACTATAATAATCCCTATCCTAAAAAATTGTCATATAATTTAATAGTGAATTATAGAAAAAATATCCCCATATAATTTAACAGTGAATTATAGAAAAAATATTTTTAGTTATTACGTAAATTCAGTAAAGTGGGATTTATTTAAAAAATAGTTTTGAAATATCAATTCTTTATAATATTTAATTATTTTAAACTATATTTAATTCGTAAGTAATGAGTGCCATCGTTTGACTAAAAAAATCAATCTGTGACAATCTTTTAGAGATGAATGGAGTAATAACGAACATATATACTATCCTTTCTCATATAAATTTCATGCTTCATTTTCTTTTCTTTTCTTTTAGAGATGAATGGAGTACATTTTTCGCGTTTCTCACTCTCCTCTACACAAATTTTAATTAAACATGATTATTTTTCAACATTTATTTAAATTTCATAAAATTAATTAAAACCATTTTTTTGTGGGGAGAGAAGGGTATAGTATATAACCTTTTAATCAATTGTCATTGTCTTCTCTTCTTGATTCCTCATCATATCATACATACCACCTGCCGAAGTGACTCTAATTATATCTAATTAATTAATAATTAAAAAAAGCTTCTAAGTTTCATCCATCGCCTTGTTTTCACCAAATTAAATAAAATACACTGTTTATATGCTGCACCAAACAAACCCTAATAATTTTATATTCTTCATTTCTCCACCGGCCCCGCCATTTTGAAACTAATTCTTTTGTACCCTACCACTTTGAGACAAAGACACGTTTATAACACTCAACATTTTTACGCGTCTCTTCCGATACAATATTTGCGATTAGCGTTAACATCAATCACAAGTGTTAGAATTTATGAAGTTATATATTTTTTTAAAAAAAATTTGGGCCTATAACTAATACTCCCTCCGTTTCTTAAAACCCTTCCTCTTTCATTTTTTTGTTTTTCTTAAAACACTTCCACTTTCTATTAAAAAACCACTTTTAGCCCTACTTTTTCATACCCTACCTATCACATCATACTTTTTCACTAACAACTAAACTATCACATCATATTTTTACCCATCACATCAAGGGCAAAATTGTAAAGTCAACTACAATTTAAACTTCCTTATTTTCCCCCAAAGTCAAAAGAGGAACTCTTTTGAGAAACGGAGGTAGTAACAAATTTATGTTTTTGGACGAGTTTATTTTATGAAATGATTCAAAACCCTATTAACCAAGAAATCACCAATACAAAATATTATTTTCTCAAAAAGTGAGAGACATTATTTTCTCTTGGTAGGAGCTAAACTAGCTAGTTACTTAAAGATTTTCTTTCCCAATTTTATCATCTCCTATAATAGGTAAGAGATTTTATATTAACACTTCCCCTTCACCCATTGCATCTTCATCACTCATCTCCCTTTCTATTGTTTTTACTAACTTCATACTCTTCCATTAATTACACTCTCTTAAATACGGAGTAATTAATTACTTCCATCGAAATCGACTCGCCACCAAATGGGTTGTTGATTATATTTAAATATATCCCAAAAAATATTGTTCTACTCTCCATTTCTAGGGTTCTTCAATTCTTAGTTGGTGTCTCTGATTCAAGACTGATCTTCACTTTTACTTTCTAGGGCTTACAAAAAAAATGTTCTCAACTCTATATATTTGTCTTCAATTCATTTAATTTCCTCCCTCATATAGCTACTACTAGGTACTAAATTAAAATATGATGGGTATAATCATCTATATATCCATGGCAAAAAGGAGTTTTTATTTTTTTGTATGATATATACTTCAATTCATGTACATATAGTAGCACTAATAATGTTTATTATTTGACGATGCATGCAGATCAGATCAATTTAGTTCAATTGAGATAGATCGGAGTACGTAGCTAGGTGGTGACTATATACCCGAGCCCGTTGATAATACGTAAATATATATATATCGATGGAAACGGATCATCAAGAGTCGTGTGTCGTACCACCGGGTTTTCGATTCCATCCCACGGATGAAGAGCTAGTGGGATACTATCTACGGAAGAAGGTGGCATCCCAGAAGATCGATCTCGAAGTCATTAGGGACATCGATCTATACCGGATCGAGCCCTGGGATCTCCAAGGTATGATTTATTGTTATCGGAGATTTTACTAAATCCAAAACTCAAACTTGTGATTATATTATAGCCACAGAAAAGGACACTCTTTCCCTTCTAGGGTTTAATTAATTGTGAAGGATATATGATGGGCATGCAGAAAAATGTGGGATAGGGTATGAGGAGCAGAACGAGTGGTACTTCTTCAGTCACAAGGACAAGAAGTACCCGACGGGGACGAGGACGAACAGGGCGACGATGGCCGGATTCTGGAAGGCGACGGGGAGGGACAAGGCGGTTTACGACAAGTCCAGACTCATAGGGATGAGGAAAACACTGGTTTTCTACAGAGGCCGGGCTCCTAATGGCCAGAAATCCGATTGGATCATGCATGAATACAGACTCGAATCTGACGAGAATGCCCCTCCTCAGGCAAGTTTCTTTTTTTCTTTTTCCTTCCATAATAAATACTCATAATAATAGTATAATGCTCCGTGATTAATTATAACAATACTAATTTTTAATAAAATTTGATGTTATAAATACTCAAACTATAAACAAATGAAAGATATTCATTCATCCAATTTCTTAATAAACTTCACCTTTACTTTTAGATGTGGATTGAGATATAAATATTTATGCATTGAAATCTATTAAATTATGGATAATAAAATCTACTCCTTTAGGTTGTTTACTTGTGTGAAATGGTATTAGTTAATGAAAAAAAAGTAAACACACAAATGGAACTAGAGCAATAAATAAAACTATCTTCATCCCAAAGTGAAGTTTTTTCGAAACTTTAAATAAACATTGATTATTAAATATTTAAGTAACTAGCTAGCTTAAATATACTCTCTCCACCCCTTAAAGATTGCCACATTTTGACTTTTCCAGTTAAACTGAGACACTCTTTGATCATAAGTTTAATACGGAGTATTACTTAAAACAATTAAATATTATAAAATTTTGATATTTCTAAACTATATTTTAGAATAAACCCAATTTTACTAAATTTATATTATAATTAAATACATTTTTTCATAATTTGCAGTCAAAGGGTGCTATATTTTGACCAAAATATCGAACCGTGACAATCTTTTAAAGACGGAGGGTGTATATTAACTCTCGGTTTCATTACACATATCAAACTCTTGACCAATAATATTTTTAAAAATATATTTTATATTGACGGATTTTTTTAAAAAAAGTAAATTTGTAAGATGGAATTAATTTTATAATTTGTAAATTGTACTCTCTCCAACTCATGAAAACAAGAAAATGATATGTGACTATCATCATTTAAGTTATCTCAATCTCCTTTTCGAAGCAACTCTAATTATACAATTTTTAGTTTTAAATATTTTCTTAAACTTTGTGTTTGGCCAAATTAGATTTTAAATTTGAGAAGGAGAGAGTATGCCATATAATGTACTCTTTATTACGGTGCGTCATATATTTTAAAGAAAAATTAATAACCAGTGCTAAAAAATTATATTCTCATTTTCGGGACATTTTGAAATAATGTTGTAATTAATTTTTTAAAGATGAAAATTTAAAACATCTATTTAAATATATAATCATGCAATTTGTGCTAAAAAATATAATCATGCAATTTTATTTTTCTTAGCAAATGTTTGACTAGCTATATTGTATAATGAATTTAAATATAAAAATTGATACAGAATTATTGGTATCGAAATGTCATTAATGTATTATTTTAAATAATGTAGACTTTCGCTAATATATTTTAAGAGACATTATTGGTCAAACATTAAAAAAACAAATCGATCAATTAAAATATAGGATGAACTAATGAAGGGAGAACTAATTATTGATTGATTCCGGGGAGCATAAAAAATCAAATTAAAAGACAGTTTCTTTAAAAGAATATATGCAATGTTCAGCTTTGTAGCTTTAAGATAATTGCTGTGTTCTCATTAATTCAACCTTTTAAATGACAAAAAGAGCCTACAAATCATCTCATTTTCACCCTTTTTGCCTTTGACTATTTCATGCCTTAATTATATGGAGCAGTAGTTTGACTTTTTAAAACAAGAAGTCACCGGAGTATATGAATACTATCATATATTCTCCTTCTCTAGCTAACAAAATGTCATGAATTGATTTTTACATATTTTGTTAGCTTATAATTTGGATAAAATATTTTGACAAAAAAATAAATAAACTATAACTCTTGAATGTACCATTATATCCATCACTTTATTCTTTTTATTTATCTCACTTGTCACCTTAAGGACAAACATGAAAAACTTTTACACATAATTCGCGTCTATTTTATCGTACAACATTTTGTTGAATTCAGTCGAAGAGAATAAAATGTTACTTCGTACAATATTATTGCATCACTTCTGACCTATTGGACAACAGTTTCAACGTTTAATTTTAGTTTTTTTAAAATAAAATTATACACACACACATATATATAACGATACAATCTAACTTTAGTGTTTTCAAAATTAGTTTATAAATCATTTAACTTTTATTCAAAATGCTAGACTAACAAAAATAGTCTTGCCAAATAATACTCTGTAATTCAGTAGACTAGAAGAATAGCACCACTCAGACATGCTTGAATACATATGATCATCTTAATTCACCCACATACTAATTTGGGAGAAAGACCAAAGTAGGACTAAAACATTGAAAATATACCAAAATAGGATTTTCATGTTTTTATTCCCGAAATAGAACTAAAACATTGAAAAATATACCAAAGTAGGACTAAAACATTGAAAATATACCAAAATAGGATTTTCATGTTTTTATTCCCGAAATAGGACTTACATTACCAAACATAGTCATGTACATTATTATCAAAAAAGTATAGTAATGTGCACGTGTACAGTGCCACATTACCACAGTGCAAACTCTTATTTCGAAGAAGAAAATATATGAAAGTCGTATTTTGGTATTTTTCTCTATGCTTTAGTCCTATTTAGGGTGATTTCTATACTAATATTTAGGGTGATTTCTATACTAATTTCACCCCATTATTTTCTATAGTTTTTTTAATCTTGTGCTTTACATAGATTCTTTTCTATTCCAAATATTTTACTCTATAACATATTGATAAAATTATATTCTAAACAGAAATGTAATTTTAAATTTTAGTTTTCTAACGAATATTAGTATCCATTATCCAAATCTTTTTTAATAATAAGATATACTCCCTCCGTTCTCAAAAACACTTCCTCTTTCATTTTTTCCACTTCCAACAAAACACTTCCCTTTTCCATTAAAAAACCACTTTTACCCTTACTTTTTCATACCCTACCTATCACATCATACTTTTTCTCTAATAATCTATCCATCACATCTTACTTTTACCCATCACATCAGGGGCAAAATTGGAAATCAACTATAATTTAACACTTCCTTATTTTTACCCCAAATCCAAATGGGAAGTGTTTTTCCAAACGGAGGGAGTATATATAATTTAGGATAAATATATTTTAGTTTTGTGAAATGAATGAAGTACAAAATATTTTTAAAATTCTTAAAAATACCAAAAGAAAAAAAGTGAAATTCTAGATCTTTTGCGAAACACGTGGAGTATATTTGTTAAACAAAGTACCTCATCAATTGTTGAACTACTAGTATCACACCCGTGCGTTGCACGTGTCATTTATATGTTATTAAATTCAAATCATTTTTCAATGATAAAAAATGAGAGGCAATAGAATATAGAGATTATATTATTTGAAAATGCATAACATCAATGTTTTACAAATTTCGAAAGACTTCTTTATAGAATCAATAAATTTGTATTACTATTAAATACTCCGTACATAAAGAAAATCAATCGACTATTAATATTATTAGGGTATTTATTAAATTATATCCGTACATAATTACTAATTCCAAATAAGAATGGAATCCAATTTTTTCATAAATTAGGAAATTAGAAAATACATCTAATTAATTTAGGTATTTAAATGGAAATTTGTATTTTTTTTCCTTTTTGGTCCTTCGTGACTACTTGAATTGAATTTAAATATTTAAATTATGCCATTATTTACTTTCCACAATACTAAATTATTAATAGCTCATAAAAATTAATCTTGTTCACAATTTATAAACTAACGTAATTTGCAAATAGTGAATAATTTAGGAAAGAAAATAAAATTAAAGCCTAATTCTCACTTAAACTCTTATCATTAATAAATTTACTTTTTATTACTCGGGTATTAAAACTAAATTAAAACTATTCAAAAAAAATGAACACGTATTTCCATAAAAGCCAAAATTATTTCCTAAATTATTAACTATTTACTAATTTAATTAGTAAATCCCGTGTATACCCTTTAAATTATATATGATTCAATAATTTAAAAATACTCTTTGTGGAATACATAAAATAAGTCTATTACCATAGATGAATATGCAATATATTTAAGGTGAAAAGTAACTTAATTTTTTTCTAACTTAATATAGGAGCTAAATTAAATAAATTAAATAAATTAATTTAGCTCCTATATTAAGTTACTTTCAACCGAATGAAAACATTGACGTGATTTCCCCATAACGTACAATTCAACCGAATGCCACTACAAAAAAAAGTTATAATAATTTTTAAATATAATATGTGTCGCAATTTTTTAGTAATTAGCTAACCATGAAATAACGTATCATTCAAATGAATTATTTAGTAATTTTTTCAAAGTATAATATTTTTTTAATTAAAATGAATTTGGTTATTAAAAAGTCACTTACTTGTGGTTCTCCAAGGTAACTTCCATCATTTGCTCTGGGACATTATTAACCATACGGGTTTCGGGCGCAGTTCGACTAACTACTTTCCCGATTATATCTGAAAATCCATAAAAATACAATTTTAAAAATTTCATAATCATAATACATAAAATGTATTTCATATGTGTAAGTATTTAAGTTATGTAAATGTAAATGACTCTTACCAACTAAAAAGACTTGGTCAGCAAACTTTGTTTTGAGTACATCTTCAAAACTCTTAAAGTAGAATCGAAAATTAGGAAATCCATTTTCTGTTAGTTTTTGAATCTTGGTCTTTCCCAAAAATTGGAGCATGCAAGGGTGATTGGTAGTTTTTGTGCCTTGGAAATTGCGTAAAACCTTGACCCTCATGAAGCTTGTTTGAATGTGCTTATATCAGTATCTTTAATCTTTAATGTGCTTAATTATAGATTAAACGTTAATCTATAATTAAATTTATATTTTTTGTTTAAAGATCTATTATATGTAAAATATAAAACAATGTAGAACTAACCTGTGAGTCGTGGAAAACAACATCCAACGATCCCGGTCCTCGAGAATGAGCAACAACGTGGTAAACTCTAATTACTCTTAGCTTCATCATCAACAACCCGGATTTTTCATGAACATTTTTTAGGGCGGTAATCATTCCCATGTTCGGCCAAAAACAGAGGTGAAACACCGATTAATTAAAACTCTCTAAAACTCTCATTTCCTGAACACTCGTTTAATTTTCTGGCACAGTAAGGTATCGTATTTATACTATCCAGAATTTTCACGAAGAATTAAAGTTTTTTTATGGTAATGGTAATTATAATTACATACAATTATGGTTTATTACGGTAATCTATTATATTATGGTAATGAAAGGAAATTGTGGTAATTACAATTAAAGTTTATGATAACATATAATTCCTTTCTCCGGAATTTTAAGCAAATACAACTAAAGTTTATTATGGTAATTACATCTTTAAATACCTTTTCTGTTACCTTTTATTATTACCATTCGTATAAATTGTTTTATTTCATACGTTTTTATATACAAAAATATAGGAGCTAAATTAAATAAAATTTCCATTCGTACCTTTTTTATACACATTTATATTAAATTACCATTAACATTCGTTACCATTTTAATTACACGGTTATATTAAATTACCATTTTTAGTTGAGCAATCGTTACCTTTTTTTATATTTAAAATTACACGGTTATATGTTGATCACAATTACCCTAATTTTATATTCACGGTAATATTAATTGAGTAATTATTACTCATTACGGTAAGTAAATTAAATTAAATTTCCATTCGTTACCTTTTTTACACACGTTTATATTAAATTAACATTCGTTACGATTTTAATTACACGGTTATATTAAATTACCATTTTTAGTTGAGCATTCGTTACCTTTTTTATACACGGTTTTTATACCTTTTTTATACACGGTTATTTTAAATTACACGGTTATATGTTGATCACAATTACACTAATTTTATATTCATGGTAATATTAATTGAGTAATTACTCAATTACGGTAACTAAATTAAATTAAATTTCCATTCGTTACCTTTTTTATACACGTTTATATTAAATTATCATTCGTTACCATTTTAATTACACGGTTATATTAAATTACCATTTTTAGTTGAGCATTCGTTACCTTTTTTTATACACGGTTTTTATACCTTTTTCATACCTTTTTTATACACGGTTATTTTAATGATCCATTAATTACCATTTAGTAATTACCATATGGAGTGAAGAATTATCATATTTTATACACCATGAAATGGGCGGGAAAAAAACAATGCAAATTCATGGCTTTTTAAATAATAGATAGATAAGGACATTAATTAAGGAGTAAAAGCTCAAGTTTGTAATTGAATGATAGATTTTTAATAAGTGAAATTTGTACTAAATAAGACTAAAACATAGGTCATTTTCCAATGTAAGACTTAATTTTTTTTATTCTCTAAATAGGATTTAATAATGACTAGTGAGAAGAACAATGTCCAAGTGATGCTGAACATTTTGTTGAATAATGACTAATAGATAATGACCAATGGTCCTACATTGGGAAATAAAAACATATGATTCTATATTAAGAAAATCATTATGTTTTAGTCATATTTAGATAAATTACTCTTTTAACAAAGGACAAGAATGTGTTGTTACCTAAATGGATCCAAAATTTTCGGAGGCTCCATTAAAAAATTAAGAACAGCACAAACAAAATGATCACCAAAATTAATATTTCAATGTTTGGAATTAAAACGCATTATTTTTTCGATGAAGTAAATAGTCACAAAATGAAAGAAAATAATGATCGAGTATGTTTTTTTAAATAAACATTTTAAAAAATAAATAACTCTAGGGTACCTTGACAACATATATTGAAATAAACAACTCTAGGCTACGTAATCTTGCAACCCTAGCTATTTTTTCTTGGGATCCTAAAATTTTTAGAAATTAGAGAGTGGATCTTTATAGATTAATTTGATAATGCTAACGCTAACTATTACCGTCAGGTAATACTTTCAAAATGTTAACACTAACTTCTAACGTTGATGTCAAACGGAATGTAATTGTTACCCAATTATGAAAGCTATAAGGGTTTGACATCAAATATAATATGCAGGAGGAAGGATGGGTGGTGTGCAGGGCATTCAAGAAACGAATCACCGGACAATTAGCAAAGACTAATCACTTTGCCTGGGAATCCAACTACTGTTATAATTACGACCATCATCAGCAACCAAACATCATTAACAATGCTAATTTCATGGGAATTGTCGGCAATAATAATATTAATAACAACAATAATCCAGACACTAGCAACAGTTTCATGGCCGCCGCCGAATCATTTCTCTCCAAGCAAGAGCTAGCGGAGGCGGCGGCGGCGGCATCGGTCATGCACCACCGCTCATCCGACGACCGTCACAACCTATTCACCAATCGCCTCCCGCAGCTGCAGAGCCCGTCCCTCGTCCCGCCACCTTTCCGGCAAGAAAGCCGACGCGACGACGAATTAGACGGCGGTGGCAAGAAGGCGTCGGTGAGGGACTGGAGGGCGCTCGACAAGTTCGTCGCCTCACAGTTGAGCCACGACGATAACTATAGCAGCTATGGTAGGGAGGAGGAAGACGACAACGGCGGCCGCGACATGGCGGGATTGTTGCTGTTGCAGAGGGAGGAGGGCGGTGGCGCCGCCGCTGCCGGGAGCAGCAAGTTGTTGAATGACTTGTTGAGTTCATCGTCAAGAGGAGGAAGTGAGGGGGATGAGAGTAATAACATTAGTATCTTCTTATTTGATGGGTAATTTCTACTCCATATTTCATTTTATTATGAATTTATTCCATACGTATTATTTATGTTCCACGTCTTTAAATCCGACCAGTTGACAAAAAGAAAGAAAAAATTTGATCATGATATAAAGACGTGGAACATTTGTACCTTGTTACAAAATTGATCAAACATTACCTATATTATCATCATTATTTATCTATACATATATATAGAAATATGTATTGATTACAAATACAAATATATATATATACTCCGACTTATAAGTGAGCGTATTTCTGCAATGTAATGTAAAGGTATATGTATACATACATATGTACGTGCTGGGTGTTTAATGTGTTGGATATATATATATGAAATGCTTGCCTTTTAGTTTGGTGTCCCTTTAAAAAAAAAGAAAAAGAAAAACAAGAATAAGAGATATATATGGATGTAGTCAGCGCCACCCTCTTCATAAACAAAATAATTACAAAATTTGTAAAAATTAATAAGAGAGAAAATATTCTGTATATTGAATTGTTCTTGTGCTTAAAAAGGTCTAACCCTCTTTATATAGGAAGAGAGTAAAGCATTTAAGTAAACTTTTATTCCTACCATATTTCTATTCCTACTATAACAAGAACTAAGCAAACTAGGAAAGATATTAAACCGAATCCCAAAGGGATTCAGTTTTCTTCTTTGATCCGGCTTCCTTCTTCTGTCGCCAACAAAATTCATAAATTTATTATTTATGGTTTAAATTCTCGCTTTAAAATTATTCTAAAATACATTATTTTTTTTAAATGAAGTTCATAAATATTAAGTTTGTGAGATTTGTGATCATGTTATTTGCGAACCAAGCATTTCCCTTTTATTTCATAGAGTTCTTTTTTTGTTTTTTAAAATTGATTTTGTGACTAAAATGTGATGAAATTTGTGAAAACTTTTAGTAAGATTTGGTGTAGCATTTTGTGGGCTTGGAAAAGGAAGGTTTGGCTGAAATTGTTTTCTATATATTTGGTTCTATTTAAATATTACTCCATCTCTCTCTAAAAGATTGTCTCACTTCGACTTTTTGGTTAAACTATGACACATTTGGATCACGAATTAAATATAGTTTAAAATAATTAAATGTTACTCCCTCCGTCCCTAAATAAACTTTCCCTTTCGTTTTTTCTTTGTTCCCAAATAAACTTTTCTTTTCCCTTAAAAAACCCCTTTTACCCCTTACTTTTTCATACCCTACCTATCACATCATACCTTTTTACTAATAATCTACATATCACATCTTACTTTTATAATCACATCAAGGGTATTTTTGAAAAGTCAACACAAAAATATTCCTCCCTTAAATCCTCAAAAAGTCAAAAAAGGAAGTTTATTTAGGGACGGAGGAAGTATAAAAATATGACTTTTCAAAATTATATTTTAAAACAAACCCAACTTTACTAAATTTACATTATAACTAAATATAATTTTTTCATAATTAATGGTCAAAGGGTGCCACAATTTGACAAAAAAATTCAAACTATGGAAACCTTTTAAGGACGAAAGGGCTATATATTAGTATAAAATGTTTAAAAAATTATATATTTAAAAATTATTTAGTGAAATTTACACTAAATAGTACTAAAACAAGTTTTTCTTACTTTTTTTCCCTTAATTAATACTCCCTCCGTTTCTTAAAACCCTTCCTCTTTCATTTTTTTCTTAAAACACTTCCTTTTTCTATTAAAAAACCAATTTTACTCTTACTTTTTCATACCTTACCTATCATATCATACCTATTAAATACTCCCTCCGTCCCACTGTCTTTGTCCACTTACCTTTTGGCACATCATCCAATGCACTTCTTTAATCCATTTTATCTTGTAATTTGTATATTAAAAAATTATAGAAATTATATATTAATAATCTATATGTTAAGACAAATCAAACAAGATCACACATGACTATATTTAAGCTTACACATTGAGAAAATTTGATGAGTCAAAATGTTTAGATGAACAGTTCCAAAAGTCAAAAGTGGACAAAGACAGTGGGACGGAGGTAGTAATTTTAAATTTAACTATAATCAAATCAGATAAGAATAGAACAGAATTGTATCAGATTATAGCAAATCAGATAAATTAAAGATAATAAGTCCTAAGCAGGATGGATGAGTACAGTATACATATATTGCACAATGGAATATATGATATTTCTCATACATTCGCATTGAATTGAATAGTCATTTATGAGTGACATATATACTTATGAATTAAGCTAGGGGTACACCAACATGGGGTACCCCTAGCATTGCCCTATACTTATTTCGCATATTTACAAATGTTAAGAAGCATTTAGTAAGCTATTTTGTCAAATATTGAGTTTAGTTTTTTTACACGCAAGAGATGAGAAGAATATTTTATTGTATCAAATAATCGATCAAAACATAGAAATAAAGAAAAATTTCTACGACTTTTGAAATGTGAAGATTGTAATTCACCTAAAATCAATTAAAATATTAATATATATCTTTGATGTAGCTTTAAGATAGATTATTTCTGAGTACAAGTGTATCATTGTTGTAAAATGTACTAATATGGAACCAAAATTTTGTATCCATTATTATGGATGTGATGAATGGAATCTCCTCTTATACCATACCAAGCCTATCAGCATATGACTTGACGGCAGACAAAACAAACCAGATCTGAAAAATAAAACGCCAGATCGATCGATCGATCGGAAACAAGATGGGGCGGTCGCCGGAGGCCGGCAAAGACTAGATCTATCTCTCGGCGGCAGAGGAGATACAGACACTGAGAGAGCTACTGGTTGGGGAAGGAGGAGGTCAGTTCTTCGTTAGATTCTTCCATTTTTCCGCCTTTTTCTGTACTCCACTTAGTATTAGGAAATGATAGCTTTCCTCTAAACCTGAGCTGTTCAAACTTAAGTAGCAGCACAGCTTAAACCCCAAATTTTCATTTTTTTACACCTGATTTTAATCTATTACAATGGATGCTGCTATATCATCTTTCGATCCTAAATCTTATATGACGATGGTGATGGCTCTTTTATTCTACAGACAGTTTTTTGCAGAAATGTCCAGAGCTTAGATGGGTTTCTAGCTGCCAGTTTACTTTCCACTATATGATGGTATGTATGAATGACCTCCATCACTTTTTATTCTACTTGGCATTTTCCCATGAGGTCTGCTTAGAATTAGAGGATTAATGAACCCTAAAATTGGAACTCTTGTCAATGAAATGCGCGTTTCGTACATACAACGCATACATGATTCCAACTTTGTTGAGGCATGGGCTCAAGATCTATGTTGTCTTATCCATGTAAAGAAGTATAGAGAGATTGTTTCCGATAATTAGACCGTTGATGCATTTACTCTATTATTGAGAGCTAGAAGCAAAGGAAGTTTAATGTGCCATTTTGATTTAGTGTATTATTTACTTGAAGCTATGAAACATTGTCGATTACACTCAAAAAGTCACTAACACAAATATAAATGTGTGTGTGATGGGTTTTGTTGTTGTGACGAAAAGGATCAGAACAACTCGACTATAAGGACATACATGGCCATCATGGCTGAAAGGGACGCGGCCATCCTTGAACGGAACCTGGCCATAGATGAGAGAAAGAGAGCTTTAGCAGAGCGAGACATGGCAATGCTGCAGAGAGATGCTGCAATCTCTGAGCGCAACTCTGCGATTCAGGAACGCAATGAGGCCATAGCTGCCCTTCAATTCCAGGACACCGCTCAAGATGAAAGCAACATTACTCATTACCCTCACCACAACCACCAGCACCCTCACCAAATGGTTGCCACCTCAGTTGACCCTGTCCCTGCTCCGGAAACTTCCATCCCCAGGAAGGTGAAGCGGCAACCGAACGAAAGCAGGGAGTTTGATGAAGAGCCATCCAAGTTGCCGAGGGTGCTCAAGGAAGAGAGTTTTGACTGGCAGGCAGTCTCCGCATTCAATGATTGGGCAGATGGTGGTGGGAACCACGAAGAATTCGTGGACCCCGGCAAGGAGGAAGAAGAAGAACAAGAAGGCAAGCCCCTCCAAGATTCGTGGGACCCGGCAGATGTGTCGGGCATGCCAGCGGCTGTATGTTCGTGTACCGGAACTCCGCGGCAGTGTTACAAATGGGGGAATGGCGGCTGGCAATCGGCGTGCTGCACGACGACAATATCAATGTACCCTTTGCCGCAAGCATCAGACAAGCGTTACTCCAGAGTGGGCGGCCGAAAGATGAGCGGGAAAGCATTCAGCAAATTGCTCGGCCGATTGACCGCAGAAGGATATGACATGTCTGCCCCTCTTGATCTCAAGGACCATTGGGCCAAGCATGGCACTAAAAAGACATCTATACTGCCTGCTTAATCTGATTTTTGATTCTTTAATTTAGGCAAATGCTACTTTGAAACCATGTTTGACACCACCCAATCTTACAGACGCCGCACAAATAGTTACATATAGTCTGTGCTTGTTTGAGACTAGTGATGTCAAACTTGATGTCATATTTAATTTAGGCAAATGTTACTTTGACACCATGTTTGACACCACTCAGTCTCACATACACGCACATACAGGTATTTATCCTCTAGACTGTCATTGCTCATGCGTCTTTGATAGATTGGTGGTGTCAAACTTGTATGACATAAAGAATATTGGCTTGAAACATAAAGAAGAAAATTGGTGAATAATAAAAAATTCCATAGGTCTTCTTGTATGAATAATAAAAAATTCCATAGGTCTTCTTGTATGAATAATATTGGCTTGACATAAAGAAGCAATTTTCATTACATTCCATAGGTCTTCTTGTATGAATAATAAAAAATTCTGCTACAAAGATATTGTAGATCCATTCTTGTCCGTGTAATACAATGCCCATAGTAAATAACTCATTTGTGGCTTTTGTGAACACAACTTCTATTCGGTGAGCAATTTGAATCTAACTATTGAATTCAGAAAGACAAGTGGAATAACAAAGGGAATGGGGAAGGGAGGATGATGACCATTGAGGAAAGTAATGTTATCTTTTTTTTTTTGAATGATATTGACTTTATTAGAAATAGTATTTGTTCATACTATTCTCAATATAATGATGCATAAAGAGTCAATGCTTTCGTCTCTATTGGGGCTCGAACATGGGTGAATTTCCCTATGAATCTTGGGGGTAGACTTCCTACCACTCAAGCCATGAGAGAAGTTCGAGGAAAGTAATATTATCAACTTGAGAGAAATCTTGCATAATTTTCTCTCTAATCTAAACAAATTTAAATGATTTGCACTCCCAACAATCAAAACATTGTTGCGAAGTACATTATATTTTGTTGTAAGAGTTCCAGATTCTATTATTTTTTAAAATATACTATAAGTGAACTTAAAACTTGAGGTAGTGTACTCCGAGGTTACTTTTCGTCCAAAGGACAGGTAGAAGTGAAGATTTTGTTAGTTTGATCTTAACTTTTCAATTTTACCTTCATTTTTCTATACTAAGAACTCGTAGGCCCGACTATGCTTTTTCGGCAAATATTCTTCGTCTTTTTCCGCCAACCCTTCTTTTTTCGTATATGCCCCCACCAATTTTTTTCTTTATGTTTCAAGCCAATATTCTTTTGGCAACAAGACCCAATTGACTCCTATGTTCATAGTGTTGTTCTCTTTGCTTCAATCTCTTCAGTGCCGAATACACATATAACTACAAATATTCTACATTAAAAAAAATACGGAGTAATAAAGAAAGAAACTGAAAGCCTAAACAAAAAAATATTTTATTTTCTTTTACATTCTTCTTTTTAATTGCATTTTCACTACCCAAATATAAATATTTTTTTGTTTTGCAAATCTTTTTCACTATTTTTTTTTTATTTTCACTACGGAAGTTGTCATAGCAGAGAGCAATGTTCATCTTCGTGCATTCTTGATTTGGTATGTATAATTGGCTAGAGGTAAAATAGGAAATTTGAGGTGTTTAATTTAAGATATGGCATAAAAAGACGAGAAAAGCGAGAAAGACACAATTGGGACGTGTGAGCCCTCATACTTTCTCCATCCCAAAATAAACTATACCTTTCGATGAATGTGTAAAATACCAAAACTTTTAATATAATTTTATTTACAAATTGGTTTTAAAATTAAAATTATATATACTTAAAAACTATATCAAAAGTTATACTCCCTCCGTCCCAATTTAAATCGCTTGTTTTGATTTTTGGGCATATTTAAGGAAAATAAAAAATAGAGTTGATTTTTCGAAATTGTCATTTTTTTAGAAGGGGTGATGATGAATGAGAAGATAAGGTGTAAAAGAGTGACTTATTTTAGGGGTAGTTTAGGTATTTTATTTTTAAAAATTTACGAAAACAACTAACAGACAACTTATTTTGGGACGGAAAAAAAAGGCAAACAGGCAATTTAAAATGGGACGGAAGGAGTACAAAACAAGAAGTGACAAAAATATTTTATTTTATCAAATAATCAATAAAAATATGCAAACAAATAAAAATTATCAAATACTGTAATAATAAAGAGATAGATCATTTTGGAACCAAGGGAGTATAAAAGTTAGGTACCTAGAAGTAATTACGAAAAGGCCAAATTGAAAATCTAGTGTCAAAGGAATGATCCTTTGGAAGGAAAGTACTCTAAGAGTACATTAACACTATGTTTGATTCATGGAATTTAAAGAAGAAAATAATTTTTCCTCATTTTCCTCACCAAAATGAAAAAAAATAGTTTTTCTCATCTTAGTACATTTTGCCTACTTAGCACTAGCTGAAAGTTGAAACACACATGTTTTATTCTTTTTTTTTTATGGGTACATCTGAAAGAAACATAATGCTTATGGAATTGGCACAAAATGTTCCAAGAAAGAAAATGCAGGAGGGATCTAAAAATAATAAAAACACAAGATGGAGGTTACATATGCACATTTGCAGATGGGTCCATTGTCATCTCCCTACTCATCATCCAGAATCCCAAACAGAAAATGTCAAACCAAAAGGAAAAAAGTCCCCAAACAGAACTCACCGAGTCACCGGCAAACAATTTTCTTCAGGTTATTATCCATCCATGATACCACACAGCCATTGCTATGAGCATAGAAAAGACAAGTGTTTCCTAGTTATAATCTTCGGTAATGCTCAATACCGCAGGCCCCAACAAAATCTTCAATATGGCGTGGAACTATGGCTCGTCATCAGCGATTAGAACGTGGCGCTGCTCGCATGATTATGTGAGCACCACTGTTGGTCTCAACAATTTCACTTATATCACCAATCTCAAGTGAAAATGCTGCTTCCTCAAAAGGCTTCTGCATCTGACCCCTGAAAAATTCACCTGCATATAATAGTTAGGAGGGAGCTATTCCAGAAGATTTGCCCATGAATCACAGTGGATATAATGCACAAGAATGCAGACAACTACAAACAAACCAAAACTTGCATGAAGATATATTCTTGAAATCCCACTAATGGAGTTTCAAAGATAACATTCAGAATCTTAATGTGTAGTAGTAACAATACATCTCTCTCTCTCTCTCCCTAAAAAACTTTCAAACGTACAGTTTTCATTTTCTTAAATCTCATGATCAGTCAAAGTGAGCAACATACAAGAAAGAAAAAGTGGCTGAATAATAAATACAGAGGTTTCCTAGTTAAACCGGATGCTTTTTGTTAAGCCATAAATGACCATTTAGAGGCATGGCTCTGTTTTAAATGTTGGATTCCAAAGGAATATCTTCAGAAATGAACATGATTATCAATAGGGATACCAAATCCTCCACATGTGATTAAGTTTTATGTTCTTTGTGCTCACAAGTCATAGCTGAGTCTGCCTTGTAATTGTATCAGGCATTTGATTTGAAAGAGCATATAGATGTTGAATTATGTATCCAATTGTTTCAAAAAGTCAAAGGAGCTATCAACAATGGAATTAAAGTTATTCATAGAGAAAAAGTAATGTCAAATTATGGATTCAATACTAGTCTGCTACATACTTCGTTCCAGCAGTGAATCATGAACTCCTCACAGAAGAAAAGTGTCAATTCCAGAAACTTCAATTTTAAGTTCCTTTTCAATTGCAGAAATTCCAAACCCATGGAATCTTTAAAAAAAGGAGATTCCTAATGAAATTCTAAAAATGGAGAACTTACAATTTCTACGGGGAAAAAACAGCAAATCAAAAACCACATTTGTGCCATTAAGGAAATATAAGGAAGCTTCATGACAAAACGGGTTGGAGCATAACAGAAAGAACCTTCTGGATTAAGCAACAAGTTCATATTTTCATTCAAGGGAGGGTTGGGAGGTAATTAGTGTTACCATTACGAGGCAGATTGTATGTTTTGATGGTTTCGTATTTAGAAGTTGCTTGTAATCTACTCCAGTACTCCATACTTCGCTGTGATGAATGAATTGTGTGCTTTTGGTTTAAAAAAAGGAACTATGAGGAAATGATATACAACTCTTGTCCGAAAAATGTTGTCGGGGAGACAAGGCAACCATCTAAACACTGGTAAAAAAGATTTCAAGAATTCTAGACAACACTGCTTTTTGGGCATATGAGTGCTTGTTTTGAGCCACTACCAATTTGTATAGGTCCTTGGGAAGTGATTGAGAAGAGTTCTATAATATACTTATGAGTGAAAAAGGACAAAGACCTGCAAATAAGATTAAGCTAAAATGGTGGAGAGTGGACTTTTGGCTGGTTAAGCAGTACCTTTGCTAATCAAAGTGTACTGTTTATAGTTTTTTAGTAAGGAGTTCATCATTCATCAATAAACTTATTACTTTCAACATTAATTGTTCAAAAATTCACCAACATCTTCATAGCAAATTATAGAATATACAAAATTTGCTCTCCCTAGGCACACAGACATAAGTATATTACGCGTGAAGATAAAAGGAATCGGTATAAAAACGAAAGAGCAAGGAGGAAATTGGTCAAAGTTACCGACCGAGATCTCCACCTCGCTTGGCGGAGCTGCAGTCGGAAAACTTGGTTGCGACGTCTTTGAAATCGGATTTTCCAGAGACGATGTCTGCGCGAAGTTCCTTGAGCTTAGCGACGGCGTCATCTCTGGTGGTTTTGGAGATGACGGTGCCATCTGGATCCTTCCAGGACTTCATGTTACGAGAGCCCTGGTGCTTTATCAGTATGTGGTAAGCCCTAACCTTGTCTCCGGAGGAGGATGGCCTATCTGGCTTCCTCTTGTTCTTGTCAGATCGATCTGATGATGAGATCGGATCGTTCTTCCTCTTCCGACCGGAATCCATTTTCACAGATGCAGTGAGAGCGCAGCAGCTGAAACGAGCGGCCCAGGATGAGGTAAACCCTGTATGTTTGTCCTGTTCCGTAAAGGGCGGGAGTAGATATATTGGAAGAAGGCAGGATTAATTTTGGTGGATGTGTGCAAACAAGGGTGTGCCCGTCTCGTCCGTTCAACCCGTCCCTAAAAAATGGGAGACATGGAAAACTTTTAATACTCACATGAGCGGGTTGTCCCAAGTCTGAATTGTATTTGGACGGACCAGAAGTTACTTTTAGTTCATCCGTGTCAACATGTCTGTCCATATTTACCAAATACATTTATTTTATTATTAATTATCTAGCCAATGTAAATTTTTGTAGGTGATTTGGTCGATTTTTGACACGTTTGATGTGGAGGTCTCAAGGCATAGTATGGTCTCAATACAATATCTTAACAAAATTACTTTAAGCACGTATGATCTAAACTTGTGGGTGATTTGGTCGATTTTGGACACGTTTGATGTGGGGTCTCAAGGCATAGTATGATATCAATACAATATCATAACAAAAGTACATTGAGCACATATGATCCAAACTTTGATGAATTGACATCCTGAACAAGGTATGACTCTTTAAACATATTTGAAACTATTGTGGGTGATTTTTGCCGATTTTGCACACGTTTGATGTGGAGTCTCAAGGCATAGTATGGTTTCAATACAATATCTTAACAAAATTACGTTAAGCACATATGATCCAAACCTTGGTAAATTGACATCTCAGACAAAGTATGACTCTTTAGACATATTTGATAGAAGAGGGGCGTACTCGATAGTATGCGTCCATGGATAGTATACATTTATTTGGAGAGAGGCCTATTTTTTCTTTTCTTTTTATTTTATTTGGAGGAGTGTTAAGCTTATTGGTGATTCCGTGTTTGAGCTCAGAATCTCATGGTACCCACTTCTCTACTACCGAGTCTCTTGCACAAATTTTAGTCCCCACTATAGATTGTACATGTGAGCTTTTTGTGCTTTACTTTAGTTAGATCCTTGTTGTTGTTGCATGCTCTTATGGGAAAATCACGAAAGAATTTAAATGGAAAGTCGGATTCATGGAGATAGGCTTTGGAGTTTCATGACTTGCATATAAGTCATATTAAAACAAAAAAATAAGGAGTGCAAGTTTAGCAACGGAAGGAGAAATACCACAAGTGAGGAGATTTAAGTATCTTGATTCTTTAGTATATCATTCAAGACAATTGAGAAATAGAGAATTGCATAAACCACATGATTCAAGCGGGTTGGTCAAAATGACAAACTCTTAGGGCTTCATATGTGACAAAATAGTACCTTTAAAACTCAAGGGTAAATTTCATCATATTGCAACTAGAACATAAACATGTATTGGCTGCAATGGGTGAACATGAACATAAGGTTAGTGTGGCTAAAATAAAAATGCTTAGATGGATAAGCGTTCATACATGTATGGACACGATAATGTATGAAGATATGAGAACAAAAGTTGGAGCCACACTATTATTGAAAAGATTATGAAAGCCGGTTTTAAGTGGTTTCGACTTGGATAGAGAAGACCAATACAACACCCAATGAAAATGGTGGATCAAATGAAAAATAGACATGTAGCTAAAGGATGAGGTAAACCACTAAACCTCAAAAAAAGAACTTGGCACGAAGTTGTTAAAGATGATCTAGGCGTGAATGATAATTCTTCAAGCTCTAAATCTGTGTTTGTTTCTTCTAACAAAATGAACACTACCAGTTTATTTTTCACAACCAAAACCATCATGCAGATACAAGTTTAGAAACCTCAGAGACATGGAACCAATGACCGTTCAAATCCCAAAATAAAAAATCACTAAAATCATTTAAAGGAGAGTACACACCTAGAAGCAGGCAGGGATCCACAAACCCTATCATACTTACCGGAACACAACAGCAAAACATTAAGCATTGGATCACAAAAAAGAATATCTAAAAGAGAAATCTAACAGTTTCACATTTTATTGCAGGTGGATAAGAAATACATTTCATTCACATCACTGGTGACAAGAAACATATTCAGACGACAGACTATCATATTTTAAGTAGATGGTAATACAAGAAAAATGGTTTAATTTAAGTTAGAGAAACGATATCTACGAGCTTGAAGATAGCATATTTGCAGTTCTGTAAATGTGGAACGAGGAGGAGCCGTACTGTATATTTATTTCTTAACCAAGCTCTGGTTTGATTGTCAGAGGCAGCTCTTCCATCATGCTCAATTGTCTCCTCATCTTTATGATGTGAGCTTGCACCTGTTAGAATGTATGAGTGTCCATCACTTACATAATAATAATTTATTAATTATGTGGCAATAGCGGCCCACCATCATGCTCACATACTCTAATTTGTAAAGATTTAAAGATGCCTCAGAAGTAATCATGGGCAATAGTAATAGGACATTAGGATTTAGGACCATTGGTCTAAGAGAAAATTGGCACTAAGCCTCTCAGTTTAGAAGTTCACCATTGTTCTAATTTTCTCTTTTTCAGAATAAAGCAAGTGTTTTTTGGTGTCTCAACTCTCAATGCCTAACGGTTACTACAGATTTCGAAGAGGAGTATAAAGAAGGAACTAGCACAATCTCCACCCGTCCTATAAAAAAGAGTTTTGTTTGACCAATGTAGAACTTGTTTTTGGCAAGGAACAACTGTTACAAGTCACAACTGATACAAATTTTACTAGATTTTTAACATATTAACTTGTTTGTTTCTCTACTTCGGCAAAATGTTGAAAATGTATCTTCATTTAATAAAGTGTGACCTTTCTTTCCTTCTTTTTTTTCTTTTTCGGATAAAAAGAGTTCTTTAGACAATTGCATGGTAGGAGGTGGAATATGGGAAATAGTAAGCAAGGGCACCTGCTGACGAATCCCAGTGAGTTTAAGAAGCTCATCTGCCTCCGAGAAATTGATGAACCACTGGCTAAGTGGATGGTTTTTCGTATCACCTCTCTTCAGCTTATGTGCATCTACTACTTATCATCAACAATAAAAAAGAGTTCAGAACAATTATCAAGCTACGTCATGGCTGACATATTAAAGACAAATAAGAGCTCTTACCCGGAGCTTGAAGAGTCAAGTTTAAATTTGCAGGAAGCCTTGGAACAACAACAGCAGGATGACTCTTAACACGAGAAAGGAATTGCTCAGAAGGTTCTGGAAACACAATCTCATCATATTTTTCCACTACAACAGGCTTCTTAGTTGACACGGGACCAGGTTCCGCTTCAGAATACAGTTTCAAGTGATGAAACCTAATAAGAAAACGAGCAGTGAATCGACTGTATGTAGATCGATTGGTTTGAACAAAAAACGGAACGGATGACGTACAAATGCAATTTCTTTTCAGAAACATCATTGTGAAAAAACAGTGAAATCCCAATTTCGAATTCACCCCAACCACATTCTGATAACTCAAAAGGTGGTGACTCCACAACTCTCACAGGGTTGTTGAAACTTGGATGCAATTGGAATTCAACCCTTTTGATAACAACACCAAGACCCTCATTTGTTGCCCCACGAACATAAACCGTCCACTTATGCGACTGGGTTCTGGTAATTAAAGCCATATATTCAGCATTGAAAAAGTCTTTATTAGTGAAAAAAAGTGCACTTAACATACTACTCTTCAACTTCTGCTCACTTACTCAGTGGCCTTCTTTCCAAGCCAGAATGCTATTGTTCCATACACTATTGGGACATACACCTCAGCATCATTGAGTCTCTTCTCTGGCCTCTATGGAAAATGCAAGAATTACATACGAGTAGTTATTTTCTGAATACAAAGTAGAGTAAATTATACAGTACCTCTTATCCCTTGACTATAATGACATTTTCATAGTTGAAATTTTACTTTAATTTCTTCATTTGTACTCTTTAGAATTAAAATACTTTCCATCAATACTAAAAACACGATCAAACTGTCCTCACTTTGCAAGAATTATATCCCAAATCAGCTACAGCTTTACAGTTTTTTCAAATTTTCTTTGTCCGGAATTAGCTATCACCTTACATCTTTAACAAAACATTAATTATATCTTTCCAATTTTAGCCTTCTATATGAAACAATATGGAAGTATGAAACAAGTTCCTAGTTCCCATACTCTAAGATAACTGCACTAAATAAGGGCATATTAGAAGTTTACACTCTTCTACACTGCTCAACATGTCTAAACACTACAAATCCATATATGTAAACAATATCAAACCTAAAAAATTTAAAAAAAATCCAAGATTTTAACTCAAAAAATTCTTGCAATCTGCAATTAGAAAGCCGGAAATATAAACTACATATAGTACCCCAAAATTGCTGTCCGGCGAATGAACAGCAGCCTTGTTCATGAGCTGTGGCTCTGAAGCGGGCGCATCTCCGTCCGTGCAAGTGTCAGACGGGAGAGGCATTTCTATGGCCGGAACCGGGAAGAATTGAAAGTTAGGGTTTTGGCAATTTCAGAAACAGAAAAAAGTCGAATGGATAAATTTTTGGGAATTGGGAAAGGGAAGCAGCAATTGCATGGAATTTTGAGAAGCAATTGTAGCGTCCAATCGCTTGCATGAAATATTCATTTCCTACTTGACACCTACCTGCACATGAGAGGACCAGGGCCAGGGGATAGAGATAAACCTTCAAACTTCAAAGCTTTAAACAAGAATAAAACCTTGTTTATTATATGGGCCGTTTTTTTGGGCTCGTGGGTGAAAAAATTGGGATATAGGTGGAGAGAACAATGTGTTTGTAGAGTCTCTTTGATGAGTTTGGGGATTTAATGCTATATGGATTTTGATATATCTGAAAGAAATAATATAGGGTTTGAAAGAGTAAATTTCATAAAAGGTCCCTAGTTATAGCTCGTTTTACATATTTAGTCCCCAATTATTATATTCATTTCCACGAATGGTCCTTTGTTTACATTTTCGTTAAGAACGTAGATAAATTTGTAAATTTACACTCCTCTCCTCAATTAAGCTTCCTCCCTCCCCTCGCACTCCTTTCCCAAACTCATCGCTAAGTTTAAAGCTTTGAATTCAAAACCGAAATCATCACTCTTCTCTCAATTATTTGTCTAACTGGTGGAACCCAAATTCGAAACCAGTAACCTTCATGGATGAGTTTTAATGTTTATTTTTTTTGTAATTTCTTGAGACTAACTGATAAAACTCATCCATAAAGTTTATTGGTTTTGATTTTAGGTTCCACCAGGAAGACTAATAATTGAGAGAAGAATGATCATTTCAGTTTCGGATTTAGAGCTTCAAACTCAGCGACGAGTTTAGAAAAGAGTACGATAGGAGGAATGAAACTTAACAAAAACGTTAACAAAGGACCATTCGTGAAAAATGATATAATAATTGGGGACTAAATTAGTAATTTTTGATGTGTAGGGACTAAATATGTAAAATGACCTATAACTGGTGACCTTTTATGGAATTTACTTGTTTTGAAATTTAAAATGAAATTGTTTAGAAAAGTTTAGCAATAAATGGGTCAATCGGCAACGGGGTGGTTGGCGATGATAGCGCTAACTGGTGGCAAGGATGGTCAACGGTTAAGGAGATATCCAAACCCCAAATATTCGCATATTGATATCTCTCAAATTCAGGAAAAATCAAAATCCCGCAAATATCTTCCGAATTCGATTTTTTTGGAGGAATTGTGATATCTTCAAAAAATTGAAATTCTTTTTATATCTCACCAAACACCAAAAAAAAAATCTAAAATCGAGAGATATATAAACTCATAACACTCACGCTCACCAAATGGGCCCTTAATTACCATTAACGTGTAAAATAATATTTACCCATTGTAAAAGTTAATATTAAAAATTTTAAGGTTAAAGACTATGACGAGATGCAAAATGAGATGTTGCCAAAGTGAGTTCATAATCCCTCCATCTCAAAACGAACGTAGCAAATACTACTATTTCCGGGTCAATATTTTTTTTACTTATTTATGTTAATCATTTCCGTTTGTATGCCAATTACGATCAACACATACTTGTGTATTACTCAAATATATATGTACTTTCGTTCCCACTTTTCTTTTAAACTAATATAAAATCCACCGCCAAATACCTTGTAATCCAATGTCACCGCTATGACTATCTTACATGAGAAGTCACATGTTCGATTTCTAGTGCGAGCAGTAACTCTACGAGCTTTAATAGGTTGAGAATGTATGCACAAATACTACGTTCTCGCACGATTAGGTTAGAACCAAAATCCGCATGATACGAGCCTTTTTAATTGGGACGGAATAATGTAGTTCATTAAGTACTTTACAACATAAGAAAATCAAAACTTTCAAATACAATAATAGATCCCACTTTAACCGTGAAACAAATATAAAATTAATAGGGAAATGTAAAATCAATAAAGGGAAATCATTCTAGGGAGGGTAGTAAGACACTCCTGTCCCACTATTTTTTGGGACACGAGGGACTAAGCAACGTTGAAATTAAAAAAAGTAAGATTATGTAGTTGATATTGATCTTATAAAAAAAGATAAAATATGCCAAATATGGTATCAGACGAAAAATAGGTATAAAAATAGAGGGACGAATGAGTGTGAAAAACCTTCGTGGTAGGCTAAGAAGAAGAAGTGTGATGTCAAAGTAAGCTAGAAATGGGAAGCGCCGAGCGCCATGAGCTTGCATTGCTCATTCATGGCCAAGAGTTGGGCCTCTTTCATGTCGACAAGTGCATTCAACCTCACATTCTCTTCCATGAGTTTCTGCACTTCACCCTCTTTCTGCGCCTTCTCACTCTCCAACTGGTTCGCTTTCTCCACCAGCCTGAAACAAAACATATATACCAGCATTATGTGTTTTTTCAAGTGGAAACTATATGTACTGCACGGGTAAATTGGATAAATGATACAGATTTTGGTGAAGAACAGTTTTGGTACTTGAACTCCTTTATGTAACAATTTGGTTTTGAAATGATGATACCAACGGGGTCTTTCTAGGTCACTTTATCTTATGTGGAATCCGAAGACACTCTAACATGTCACCGCATCCCCAACACAATTTTGCAAATATGCTTCTCTAAGAGTTAACTAATTCATTTGATATTTACTTGGCATCTGATCTGGAAAGTGAACTTCGGTGGATGGCGTGTTGCAGATTACATGACATGTTAGAATGTTTCATGCATGTTGTCACGTTACATAGACAGATTGAACTTCCAAAACTATACAATAGGTGACAATACTTATATAGTTAGGGTCCATTTGGATCCTAGGATGTACTAGGGAAGATATAGAGAGTGAAGTATCATCCTTACCATCAACACCTTAATGGGCCACGCCTTGTGTACACAACCTGTTTTTTGTGTCCTAGTATGATTGATCATAATAGGTCTCCCGTAAGGCTGTGCCTATTTATACTCACACAATCACTAATAAAACAATCCAGAATTTATTTGCAAGTCAAGAACTTGTGATTGGTTCTACACAAGCCAAACTTCAGGACGAAGGTCTACTAAGTATCTGTTTCACTACTAGCAACTCACATCCGGCTATGCAGAATTTGTCCATTAGGCTTGGCTAATAAGAGTGCCAAGTTTTGTGAGGTATTCTCAATGGTTGGTTCTTTCAAGTGGTGTGTACTCTAACTAACAGAGGCCTTGCAATCGATGTCATTTAATCGTGAAAAGTGCTGAAGCAACATATCTCTCTCCTCACACTTAAGGACAAGCTTGATTTCAAAGAGGGGAGCACAGTCTGTGACTAGCTTCTCATAACTAGACATTTGACATCAACGGTTGATAATTTTATTAATGATTGTGCTAGTAAAAATAGACAAAGCCTTACAAGAGAACTACCATTATCATAGTAGGAACATAAATCCTTATCGAGGAATATTAACTAAAATAGAATAAGACTTAATAGGAAACTATTAATATTCCTAATACTCCGTAACAACAGGAAGCTAATAATAATAGTAATAGGAAAGTAATAATAATAAGGAAAAATTGATATAAATACTCCCAGAAATTCGAAATTTTACAACAATATTCCCAAATTTAATAAAAGACTCTGGTGCTCCCAATTAAACTATAAGTTTACATTACTACTACCATTATGCCTAATCAGCTTTTCTTACGCTTACATGTAAGTAATTATGCTTAGTTGACATCTTAGTTGTTTTTTTGTTTTAATAAGAGGAAAAAATTATATAAATACTCTCTGAAATTCAAAATTTTACAATAATACTCTCAAAACCAAATAAAGACTCTAGTACTAAAAAATTTCTTCCTTTTACGTGTTACGATGTTTCATAAAAGTGGTGTGAAATCAAAAAATAAAATTATATATCTAAAAAATACATCATAAGATCTATAAAACTAGTAATGATATAATTATATTATTTTATCAAATATATAATTTAAATAGGTAAGCAAAGTAAATAAAATTTGATCTTGTTAATACTCTTAATAGTGAATAAGAAGATAATTTTTGGACGGAGGGGGTATTTTGTATTAAAATATAAAAAATATATAAGATGCCAATTAAGCTCAATTAATTAATCTTTAATATTACTAAAAAAAATATTTTTACATATTACTATATTAGTTTTTCAATATGTAATTTTTATTTTTTAATTTCACACCATTTTTCATATAAAATACTTTAAAATAATTTCAGTCAAATATAGTAACGTGCAACGAAAATATACTTTTGGGAGAACTGGAGTCTTTATTTGATTTTGGGAGTATTATTGTAAAATTTTGAATTTCTATGAGTATCTATATAAATTTTTTCTCTTATGAAAACAAAAAAACAACTAAGATGCCAACTTAACTTAATTAATTACATGTAAGTGTAGGAAAAGCTGATTAGGCTTAATGGGAGTAGTGACGTAAACCTATAATTTAATTGGGAGCACCAGATTCTTTAATTAATTTTGGGAGTATTATTGTAAAATTTCGAATTTCTGGGAGTATTCATATCAATTTTTCCTAATAATAATAATAATAATTCATTATACAACAAACCCTATAATTCATTATAGGAAACTAATAAAAAAAATTGATGACTATGTCACATTTTTGTTATACAGTTTGTTCTTCGGAGTACAACAAATGGTGTACAAAAGAAAATTTCCGCACCTTAATACTAGTTGGAATCAATGACATCAAATTTCCAGTGTCAAGCCGTCACCTTAATTGTGTAAAACTAATTGACACTGAATTCACTGCCAATGTTATATGAAGGATGCATTTCCAGTTGCAACCTTCATAAGATGGAATGATGCGATGAAAATTTTAAGATCCCAAGAAATTTCAATATAATAAAAAAATATTTCAAAAAATTAATCATATTTCGTTTTCCTTAGAATTCTCCAAGGTTAAAGCATCATAAGAAAATACTTAGTAACTTCTTTTCACATTTGTTTTCCTTTCCATGGCAATTTCCAGGACTCAAATATAATCATTAAGTTCTATTTAACATATTTACCCCAACCACATTGAATAAATACCAGCAACATTGCCAATATAACGGTCAAGATAAAAGTATAGCTGAGAACTGACCGTTCAAAGAGCCGTTCAATGGTCTGAAACTGCTTCTCAGATGAAAGAAGAGTTTCTCTCACGCTAATGAAACTGCTAACATATGATTTTAGAGATTCAAAGTCCCGCTTAACACGACAAAGCTCCTCCTCGTTTTCTGCAGCTCTTTCTCTCTGTCTAGAAGTCTCGTCGACTAAATCTTCAACTCTCTGGCGCATCTTGTCAAAGATACGTTTTGTGCCCCGTATAAATCTTTCCATTTCTTCCAGTTTAACTGACATAGTTTCAATTTGAAGTGCACTCTTTCTAATCTCTTCCTCTCCTATTATCACCTTCACCTTCTCAATAGCAGTTTCCGATTCTGCCATTATAACCCTCTTAACAAGTCTTTCCATAAAGTCTGTAACCGTGTGTACACTTCTGAGTAACTCACTAACCCATCCTTCATCTTCATTACTACTAGAAAGCTTAATCCATGTTTCTTCATCAAAAGAAGAGAGATTTACAGCTTTTGTTTTCAGGTATGTCAGTAGTGTTGAAGCAGTTCTTACTCTACGACAAAGAACATCGAACTCATTCTCTGATTCTTCTCCAGAAGAAGAAGAATTCCACATGCAAGACTTCACCTCTATAAGTTTGGCTTCCAATGCATCCACTTGAGACTGGCTCCTTTCCATCTCTTGCTTCCAATCAACACAAGTTGGGGTCAAATGGGACTTAAATAGTGGCACATCTATGTTGCACTTGCCCGCCATTACACCTTATTAACTTAAAAAGTTATTAGAAAAAGAAACAGTTAAGTTAGAAAAGTATATTAGGGCCGGTGGACTTAATTTAACAAATCAATTAGCCGTCTAAAATTATAAATTCATGCAAAAAAACTCAAACATTGATGAGTTGAATTAGTGGTTATAGTTATGTACTTATGTCTCACTACGAGATATATATTGTAAGATGAATATGAAAATGTGGAATATGGCCAATGCATCCATTTGAGACTGGCTCCTAATCAATACATGTTAAGGTCAAGTGGGACTTCAATGGTGAGTTGGGGATGTATCTATGTTGCCCTCGCCCGCCATTACAACTTATTAACTTAAAAAGTTAAAGAAAAAAACAGGTAGGTTAGTTAGAGATGTATTTTGGCATCGGTGGCATTAAACATTAAATTCATGAAAAGTATGCAGAGGAAAATATGATCAAACAGCAATGCGTTGAGATAGTTGTTGTAGTTATATCTCATTAAAAGATAGATAGTGTAAGATGAATATCCATATAAGGAACATAGCCACAATGCCATATACAAGGTACACGGTACAAGTAATATAAAGATCAAATGAACTAACGGTGATGCAATCATTTTGAAAGCATAGTAATGTGAAGATATATCATACTTTTGAATCACTCAGTACACTATAAAGGTTCCACTGGAAAGAAAACAAAATGCTCTTCATAGGATATGCCAATATGCAGACACCGATGTTAACATTGGTCTGAAGATGAACTCAGAAGTGTCCATTTCATCATGGAGCCTGAAGTCCACTTCTATAACTCAACCATTTTTGTACATTCCAGTCAAGATCATATCAATAAATAGGTGAGAATCTCCTCCCATCAACCCTCAACCCAAGCAATGAAAATCGGCCGGGAACACACAAATTTCCCCAAATACATGCCTATGGGATGAAAATATGAAAACATTGTTGGGATTGAGAGCTCAAATAATACTTAAATACGAAAAAAAGCGTTCATTTGGTTTATTATCGTTGCAGATTAAATATACATGGCATTTAAATAAACTGTTTGCACACACAATATCTATCTTCAATTAACCATTTGGGCCCTAAAGAATAAGTTAGCCAATATCTTAAAGGCTTCGGAAATTCGAACTCGAGGAATTTAACGAGGGCTGATTGAATCTAAAATACGCATCGATTGAATCTAAATAGTGACATATTGCACCCAAACGGAGGAGAGAAAAATAGGCAAAGATGCACTCTTTCAAACAAGGCAAAATTACAGAGAAATGGAAAAAAATTTACCAGAAGAACGATATGGAGATGATGATACCTGGTGGTTTGGAGAGAAAATTGGAAAGCGCTCCGACGAAGGGGAGACTGGTCTGTGAGAGCTTTGAGAAATTTGACGATCATGGCAGGTCCATCATATGACTTTTTTTTAGTGTTGCACATTCTTTTCCGGTGTTTGGTAATACTGAGTATGTAATTATAAAAAAAATCAAATTCTATATCTCAATATATATATATATATCATAAATACTTCTAGTGAAATTTGCACTAAATATGACTAAAACATAAAGACTTTCCTAATGTAGGACTTAAACTTTTTTATTCCCTAAGTAAGACTTATTAATGACCTAGTGGAAGGAATAATGTCCAGTAATGATAGATATTTAGTTAAATAATGACTACTTGATAATGACCAAATGTCCTACATTGGGAAATAAAAACATATGATCCTATATTGGGAAAGTCATTATGTTTTAGTCCTATTTAGGTAAATTTCTCATATTTCAATTTCAAATGGAGAATTTTAATATCTTTTGAATTTGAGCGATATTAATATGGGGATTTGATATTTCCATAAACTGTCAACTACCTCTGTCATCGGCTACCACTGCATCCGCTAACCACCTTTTTAAAGGTTAATTCCGTCTATCATGAATTAAATTATGAGTTTAAATATAATCTCTTCAAATAACTTTATTCATTTTGGATTTCAAATCTCATAAGATTTTTTTTTTCTAGATTTCAAAATCTACCTCCGTCCCAAAAAGAAGTTTCATGTTCAAACGACATGCAAAATCCTATGACTTTTAAAAAGATCTTATTTACAAATTGGTATAAAAAATAAAATTTACATATTTAAAATTTATATCAAAGTTCTACAAAATAAAGTGTGACAAGAATATTTTATTTTAGGAAATGAACAATGAAAATATGCAAACAAACAAAAGTTATTGAGAGACATTAATTGTAAAAATATGTAATTCCCTTGTTTGGAACAATATCTTTTATTAGCATTAGCGTTTTAATGAATTTTTAATGGTGCTGATTAATTGAGAAAACACTAACCTTAAAACTACCGTCAGATAGTTTTTTTCAAAATATTCTCGCGTCTCTAACGCAGATGCCAAACGAGGTCTGTGTCTTTGAATATAAATATAATGATGGGGTTAATTTTTAGGTATGTTAGGTTTCATTTCTTAAGAAGGGGCAAATGTATGTTACGTTTGCGTGGTCCCTGTATTTTTATGATTGTATGGGATCGGAATATCAGTCAACACTGAGATGGAGCATTAACGTTAAATGCAGAAACAAAATATGACTCCAAGTGCATCACCACAAAGTGGTCCAAGAAGCAACTTTGGGACCTCCTCCATGTTCTGTCTGACCAAAAACCCTAGCTAACATCAACAACAAAAATAAATAAACAAATAAACAAACACTTGGAAAAAAACTTTTAAAAGTACAAACAAACAACGGTGGGGTTCTAGTGAGACCGAAATACGGTGACACTCTGAAGTCACTGTCATTTTGGGGTACTTACGATACTCCGTTCGTAAATTTGACGGTTCCTACCCCATAACTCACCCCTTAAACCCCACGGGTCTATGGCCACTAGGTTTCAATGGCCACGCAAGCCATTGTCTCGATTCAGACAACAACGGTGTTCTGTTCGTTAAACTGATTATCCCTACTCGTCCTAACTCACATGGTAAACTCTCTACCCAATCTCGATCCCAACTCATTCCATATTCACATCAATTGCACCCTGCAAGCTTAATTAACTTTGAAGTCAAAATGTTAGACTTCAAAGGCAACTGTACTTGCGCGGTGTAGTTGACGTATGTGGGGAATGAGTTGAGGTCAGAACTGGGCGGGGCGTTAGAAATGGTAAGAATAATCAATTTTACAAGCGGAGCACCGTAGGGTGGCAGTGGCTTCCGTGACCACTGAAACCCAGTGGCCATTGAACCCAGCTGATAATAATATATAATAATAATAATAATAATAGTAATAATAATAATAATAATAATAATAATGGCAAATGTGTCTTAAATAAAGTTACATGTTTATTATTCACATTGTTAAAATTTTTGAAAATAAATTGCTACATGTTTAATTTCACTCTAGCTTTCAAAAATAAAAAATGCCCCATGTGTCCTAAATTAAGTTACATGTTCAACTTCACTCTAATTTTCAAAATAAATCGAATTAAAAAGAATTATAGTCAAATATCGTAAACTGAAACAGAAGATTTAAATCAAGTCCGGCGGCCATTTAAGTATTGTTCAACCTGCCTATAGAACTGGATTTCTGTAGTGCACTTATTATTCATAAGTATATACAGATTGTACGCACTGCTCATATGGAATTGAAGAAAGTGACGAGCCTATGAAATTACACAGCAAGTAGTACATGAAAGCAACCATTTTCATTCACCAAATAGTCCCTAGCTACCTACCTACCTACCCATCCTCTGCACTTCTCCCTAATACCCATTCTTGGAAACTTTTTTAATTTGTTCCTTCCTTCTCGCTCGGGACTCTTTCGGGAATAGTGTTTCAGATTTGCGTTAGCGTTTTGGATAAAAATTTAAACACTGCGGATTACTTTGAAAATGCTAACGCTAAACACTGCCTGTAGATAGGCTTTTCAAAACGCTAACGCTATTCCCAAACAGGCCCCAGATTAGTTGTCTTATTTCGAATAACGTATAAAATTTAATTTTGTTAAAATTAATTTTATATACAAATTGTTTAAGAATAAAATTAAAATTTACGTATTTAAAAAAAAAATTAAAAAAAACAACAAAGTAAATTGTGATGGGTCTATTGTTTGTTATATTAAATAAAAATTATCGAAAAACTAAAATAGTAACTAAGACAATTACTCTAATATAGTATGTAATTTAGGATGGAGGGGGTGCTTATTTGATGCACTTCCTAATTTCATGATTTTCATCCTTAAAAATTCCCTGGTAATAGTGATTACCTATGACTATTTGGGCATCACAATTAAACTCGGTTTCATTTGTTAATATGATTCGTAATGTGATTATATTTCATTTGTAGCATGACCATTAATTTAATCCGATAAATACGATAAATCACGCATCATCATCGTCATGGATCAGCATGTATGTATGCAAAGAATAAAGTTAAATAAATAATACCCGGAGTAGTTTTTTAAACAAAATGTTGAACGCCAAACCCCTAGAGTTTCTCAACATTGAATCGGACAATCGCCTGAGAGGAAATAAGCAAAGTGAGCTACAATCTCAGTCTAATTGAGATAATAAGATACGGTTTTCTCCTAGTACATGCAAGAATCACAAGCATAGGTTAATCACAATTCATCATCGTTGCGAGAACTTGAATCTAAGAGCAGTGGCAATACCTCTCACGCCCACGGCGTTATGATGCTTTTCACGTCTGGGGGTGTTAAACACCGCCCACCTCCTCAGTTATAGGTGCGTTAAAAATCCTGCGTCAAATGTTTGACGCAATTTAGAGGCGTTATAATGCCTTCTTCCTTCTTTTTTCTCCCTCTTTTTTCCTCTTTTCTTCTCTATAAATTAAATCAATTTTTTTTTAAAATTCAACACAAATACAAATTTCTCTCTATCTATCATCTTTTTTAAAAAAAATTTTATTCAAGTAATTTTTCATGAATGTAATTTTTTTATTTAATGAATGTAGTTTTTTTATTTAATTAATGTAATTTTTTATAATGAATGTATTTTTTTAATTAACTATTCTCGTTTCAATTCTTTTAAATAATTAAATATTTAAATTTTATTAATTTAATTTTAGAAGATGTGTATTTAAAATGTAAAAAATGAAGGTTTGAAGCCCCACTTTGAAGCCCCAGGGCTTCAAACCGATTTCCACTGAAACTGTGAAGTAAGTTAAAGCTGACGTGGCAGAGAGAAAAGATTTGAAGCCCGGGAGTTTCTTGGGTATTTCCAGAGACCTAAATTTAACTCGTTCGACACTATCTTCTTAACCATTGAAGTTACGCCATATCAGTCTCACACTGAAATTAAATTAATTGTTGTATGGAGTTGAGCTAGCTTTATGTATTAATTACTTCCTCAGTTCTCAAAAACACTTCCTCTTTCATTTTTTGCACTTCTAACAAAACACTTCCACTTTCTATTAAAAAACCACTTTTACCCTTACTTTTTCATACTCTACCTATCACATCGTACTTTTTTTCTCTAATAATTTATCCATCACATCTTACTTTTACCCATCACATCAGGGCAAAATTGGAAATCAATTATAATTTAATATTTTCTTATTTTTGCCCCAAATCAAAATGGGAAGTCTTTTTGCAAACGGATGGAGTAATAAAAAAGGATGAGCCTCATCCCCGAGAGCCCCTGCAAACCCGGTCAGACGGTCGCTGAGAGGAGGTAAATTGGAATTTGATCCCAAATTGGTGGCAAAAGAGTATAGTGTGCCCGTGGTACTTGCAGAGGCACTATGATTAGCATAATTGCCTCCCAGCGTAATACTCCCTCCGTCTCGGAGTATTCGCCCAGCTTTGACTTTTAGAACTGTTCATCTAAGCACTTTGACTTATCAAATTCTCTCAATGTGTAAGCCTAAATGTAGCCATGTGTGATCTTGTTTGATTTGTCTTAACATATAGATTATTAATATATAATTTCTATAATTTTTTAATATACAGATTACAAGATAAAATGGATTAAAGAAGTGTATTGAATGATGTGTAAAAATGAAAGTAGAAAAATACTCTGGGACGAATATAATAACTAGGTAGGTGGTATTAATTAATGAACAAGAAGAAGAGCACGAAAGAAAAAAGATGAGGGGGGGTGGGGATATGGGGAGTATGATGATGGTGGGAAATCTTTGGAGATATGGGAATAGGAAGAGAAACATAACATCAAGGAAACCCAATTATGATTACCCCAAAGAAAAGGGGATCCGACTGTATGTATGTATGTATGTATGTATGTATGTACACCGTGAGGTAAGCACCTCCCCAATTTTGATGACAATTATATTTTTAGAGAATTTTTTTTAACAGCACTTTCATTTCTCCAAATCATGTCCCTAATAATATTCTAAAGAATCACTTTGACAGATATATAGGGAGGCCCAATAGATGATAAATCTTTCCTACCGTATAAACAACACCCACAA